AACAAAGTCCGAAATATCTGACGTTTTCCAGGCTTTTTTCACGATTTTGATATTTTACGTGCCAGGAAAACGTCAGAACCGGCCCCATTACGAAAATTGGAAATGTCACCATCTCCAATCGGAGCTGATTTTCGATACTTGCGAACTGAATTAAATGCCGAACTTACAATTTACCAGTAGCTCAATGCTTCTAGTACTCACCAATATCGATGAAAAGAAAATATCACTCCACATTTCGATATAGGTCTTGCAAGATTTTAAAATGCACGGAATGAAAAGAAAACTCGACCGTCTGATAAAATGTTTTCACCAGATTGTATATTTCATAAACAAACCCATAAAAACGATGTTGGTTAGTACTAAAGGCATTGTATTATTAATAAGTTGTGAATTCAGCATTTAATTCGGTTCGCAAGTGTCGAAAATCAACCCGAGAATATCAAAATCGTGAAAAAAAGCCTGGAAAATGTCAGATATTTCGGACTAGTCAAAACAGTGTGCTAAAATTTTAAGCATCTGTGAAGATCAGATAATGAAAAAACTGCAATAAAAATTTGTTCCAGATAGACAAACATAAACCACATAGACAGACACACAAGGGTAAAACAGTCTATCTCCCTCTTCCTTCAAAGTGAGTGTATAATGAACAGTGATTTACATTGTCTAAGTTACTAAGGTATGCTTTCAAACAAAAAGCATGACACTTTTCACATGTTAAATGCATGCAATCTACAAAATATAAAAAAAATTACTTAATTGCATAAACGATGACTGTTTCAGGCCGTCTACTGGTCTATCAATCAATTTCCGGATTTTAAGTCTTGTAGCCTTCTAGTGGCCCTTTCTCTGCTCTTTTTTTCTCTCGTTAAATATTTTTGTTTAATTTTTAAAGTTTGTGTTTTTTGGTCAAGATCTTTCAGTGATTTGATGCAATTTGTCTCCAAGAACTCTTCAATTTCTTTTTTACCGAACAAAATTTAAAAAAAAAAGATTAATCACGGTCTCCTTTTAACAATAATTTCAATGCCTAAAAAATATTCATTTCAAGAATCGTTTGATTTGCAACATTTTAATTATTTAAGCAAAATTCATAAAAATCATTTATCAATTTTCATTGAAAAAATCAAAAAACTTGGTAGGTTTCCAGTATTTTTGTCACTTCTGGTGAAAATGTATCCCTGAAAATGATCTCTTATCAAACAGGTGATAAACAGGTGATAAACTGTCTGCCTCATCCTAAAACAAATGATAAGGATGATTTATTTACACTATTATTAATATCTGATACTTACACAGGTTTTTATTTTGGTAAAGAGAATTAATGTAAAATAATTTTTAAAATATCAATAATTTTGAGAAATTTCTTTGGTAAAACAATGCGCCATCTTACTGTTTCTAATTCTGCAATAATTGCGGTCAGGCCTGAAATATCTTTCAAAGTATCATCTTCACTGTCTTCTACACAATCACTGATGAAAAATAATATTGATAAACAATTGCATATGTCTACCCTCATCCTTGAAGTGTAAAACACACAGGCACAATTTCAAACTTTATCTTTGGTTGTACTGTCATCTGAAATTTGATAAATTTCATCTGTATGACAATAACTTACTCGTTGTGCACATGAATTTCATTTCCTGCAACAGCACCAGTAGGTAGAGAGGTCTAATCATCTGATTTGGAGCCATTAGAATCATCAAAATCACCTCCTTCATCATTATCATCATCACTTGTTACACAGGACTCCATAGAGGAAGAGCCTGCTTGTCATTGAAAAACAATGTTAAACACTGAATGATTTTTCTTAAATAATAATTTGTTTACATTTGTCAACCAAGAAAATACATAATTTTTACAAAGCCTGTTTACTTGAAGAGCTATGCCTGTTTCTGCCACGACCTCGACCACGTCTCCCCTCACCCTGTTGAACGCCACGACCTCGACCACGTCTCTCCTCACCCTGTTGAACTCCACGACCTCGACCACGTCTACCCTCACCCTGTTGAACTCCTCGACCACGTCTACTCTCACCCTGTTGAACTCCACGACCTCGACCACGTCTACCCTCACCCTGTCCAACTCCACGACCTCTACCACGTCTACCCTCTTCTTGTATACCTTCATGGTGCTGTCAATTCCCTTTTTTTTTTTAGATTTACAACAGTCCACGGACCAGTGATGTCTTCATTTAAACAAGGGCCCTCACCTAAGCAACCCCCACAGAAACAACTCCTCTCCCTCACTGAGATAACAAATGGCTGTCATGATCTGATACAGTGGTAATTTCTAGTGTCCTTCAGTTGTTTCACATTTGTTCTTTCTGGCAAGTTTCTATTAACATCAGTCTTTTTCACATAAAAAAAACTGTCTTTTTGTATGTGTATGGTCTTGGTCAGCTCCACCTTTTGGCAGACCCAAATTTTCTGTACAGTATTGAAAGAATTGCATGAGTTCAAGTATATCCTGACATCCTGCAGCAACTGCATTTTTCGCACACTTCTTCAGTACACCAATTTCACGGTCACATGCCTACTGCCGAAAAAATGTTTTTCTGTCTTCACACCGAAGTCCTATTTTGAAAAGGAACAGTTGGCAAAATTTATTTTGTTCTTTTATTGGGTTGGGGCACCATCAGAAAACTGAAAAACATGCGTTATATTACCCTCACTTTCCTCCAGTAGCTTTTTTATTCCAATTTTGACAAAATGCTGCACACCATGGTGGTCATGTGTGAGGTCATCACTAATAAATACCATTGAGCCTGTCACAGTCTTGGGGTTCTCGGGACACTTACGGCATTTATAGAGTGGATTGTAACCTGTGTATTATTCAAGTGAAACCCTTGAGGTGCGTCTTGTGCTCTGCAGATGAAATTTTCTGCATAATCCATGCAGAAAACAGCAGTGCCAGGAGGATGATTTCCTGATACTACTTTGTACTGATGATATTGCCACCTGGCATTAAAGAGGTGCTTTGAAAATGTTTCCATCTTAACTTTGAATGTTTCTACCAAGTCCTCAACAAGACCTTCCTTCTTCACTTTTGTAAGTTTACGACTTTCCCCTTTCTCCCACTGCCACCACTTAATGGAAGTGTATGTGAGGAGCTGTAAGAATGGGTTGAAGATGTTCAGAAACTCTCTGTATCCCGCAAGTTTCACAGTAACGATCCAGACATGCCTTTTTGTACTCTCCATCTGCCTCTGGACAGAGTGTTAACTGGGAAGCAGCATATTTATCTGCTATTTGGCAATCTTTACCAGCAGATGCACACAATGAGTTGATTGACTTCAGTATCAAGTCTACATTGAGACAGTATTCACACAAGCATTCTCTAAACCTGTGATTTGTAAAAGGAAGCACATTCTTGGGCTTTTAACGCACAAAGGTTCCATAGCTCACTGGATGGTCTACTTCTTTTGCATACTTATCATAACTTGCGCGCAAAGAATTTTCCATTATTTTGCGCCCCTGCACATGTCCATTCACTTTGACAGCTCCTCTTGTATCTGGGATGTCCCGACTTGCACTGTCATAGACATTTAAAATTTTATTTTTTTCTTCATGTGACAAAACATCTTTCCTTTTCTTTCTTGCATCTTCCCAACCCTCCTTTTCACTCTCTTCATTTACTAGCTTCTGGAGTTTTTTCGGTATCCCAAGTGATGTCAGAATAGCCTTTCCTTTAGTTTTTAAAGCCATGGCGATTAGACGTTTTTATCTTATATCTCTCATCTTTCTTTTACTTTTCAACCTACTGAGTGCTTCTCTAAATGAATCTGAAACCTCCATCGCAAGTTTTCTTTTGACCTTTGTGTTTGGGCTAGCCACACCAAGTCTTTGGTTTATTGAAGTTTTTGTTCGTGGAGATTGCTGATTGATTGCTGCTTCTATAACTGCTGCTTTTAGCATTGGATTGTCCGGCATTGAACTAAGGCATGATGTAATCTTCTGTTTCTGCCTAGATTTGGCCACCCTAAATGTGCTGGATTTTTCTCCTGACTGTATCTCAGACTCCATTGCTGACACTGATGTAGGGGATACTGATGATGTCCCACGCTTCTTTCCTTTATAAGCTTTTCTTCGTTTAGCATTTATGGCTGTTTTCTTTTGACGGCTCATGTGCGCTCTTTGTATTCTTTTTTGTTCCTTCTACTTTTTGCGCTGTTCTTCGCAAGTTTTAAGGGTTCTTGATTTCCACTCATTATCTGCTTTTCCCTGCACCAAGTAGACACATTCTCCACCAGCATATCAATCAGATCAGCTTAAGTTTATGGAGGCACAGATAAAGATTCTGTTGGACAACATGCAGATGCTTCAAACAAAATTGAGCAGCATGGAGAATAAACAGAAAAAAACCCACAAAATATGGAGACCCGTATATGCTTTAATTGTGACAGACCAGGACATCTCGCAATAGATTGCAGGAAGCCTAAGAAGTTTAGGGCACAGAATCAAAGTATAAGTCAGAATGCAAACAGGAGTTCACAGTCGGAGACGAGACCTTTAAACGAGAATGGGCCGGGTCAACAGGCGTAAATCCGACCCGTAATACTGCAAAGCGCCTTGGGAAAAATTGTGCTTCAGAAGAAACGAGCCCAAAATCAATAAGGCATGCATCAAGAAAACACAGGAAACGTAGAAGACCTAGACAGAAACCATCAAATAGAAATCAGTATACTTCCTATTCTGAAGATAAAAGTGCAGATATAGACAAAACGATGACAATTTTACAGTTGGGATCCGCTTCTATGCTGAGATTAAATGTAAAAGTGAACTCTACAGATATTGTTGCAGTAATAGATACAGGAGCAGAAGTCACTATCATCTCAGATCGGGTGTATGAAATGATGCAGACGAAGCCGCCTATTAAGAAGCGCACTGTCATGCATGGTGCAGGGCGTAATATGAAAATGAACACATTCATCATTGGTCCAGATGACATCAAAATAGGAACCAAAACATACCCATCTGAAATATATGTAGCTCCTGAATGAGATGGATGATGACATGCTTCTAGGATTAGATTTTATACTGAAAAACAATGTAGTACTCGACTGCTGTAAACAACAGATTACCATCAACTCTGACACATTACAGATGTCCTATGGTAAAAGCAAAGATCAACCTAGAGTGGCAAAAGTTATTTTGCCAAGTAAAACGGTGTTGCCACCAAACTCAGCAGTTCACATCAATGGCGAGCTTACAGAAAAGCTGGATCAGAATTATGTGATTGAACCACAAAATGACATTCCAGTCTTAATGCCTAGGTGTATGTACTCTGATCAGACAACTCCAAGACTTTGTTTAGTCAATGCCAGTGATAGATACTTTACCATTAGTAAAGGAACTGTAGTCGGGGAAGCAGTTGTAGTCGGGGAAGCAGTTGAAGTTCTCCCAGTCGAGTTGGCAGTTGAGACAAAGCCTGTTACACGGTTGTCAAAGATTCCAGACAACCTAAAGCCACTGTTACAGAAGTCCGTCACAAATTTGAGGGCAAGTCAACAAGAACAGTTTGAAAACCTGGTAGCAGAGTACCAAGATGTGTTTGCGGAAAATGATTTTGATTTCGGAAACTTTGAAGAGATCAAACATGCTATAGATACTGGTACGGCAATTCCAATTAAGCAGAGAATGAGACGCACTCCCTTAGATTTTGTGCACGAAGAGGAATCTCACCTACAAACCATGTTAAATGCAGGGATTATTGAACCATCAACCTCAGAATGGGCATCCCCGCCCGTACTTATCCGTAAACGAGATGGAAAAGTAAGATGGTGCATAGATTACCGGAAACTTCACTTCACTCAGTCACCAAGAAGGATGTCTATCCCTTACCACTTATCGAAGAATGTATAGACACCTTGTCCGGTAATGAATGGTTTTCAAAACTGGATGCCAATTCAGCATACTATCAAATAAAAGTAAAGGGCTCTGATAAAGAGAAAACAGCCTTTATTACAAGGTATGGCCTTTTCCAATTTACTCGCATGAGCTTTGGACTTTGTAATGCTCCATCAACTTGTACCAGAGTTATGAACCTTGTCTTGAGAGGACTAACATGGAATATAGTGTTAGCATTCCTAGATGACATTCTGGTGATGGGAAAATCATTTGAGGATCACCTGCAGAATCTACAATTAGTCTTTGACAGATTTCGTCAATATGGTCTGAAGCTGAAGCCTGCAAAGTGCTTGATGTTTCAAATGGAAGTTGAATTTTTAAGACGGAAAGTCAAAAAGACAGGAATGGCCATTGGAGACGAGTATGTAGAAGCGGTCAAAAAGTGGCAAACCCCAAAGACAACAAAGGAGGTTGAAATTTTTTTGGGATTTGCCAACTACCACAGAGTATTCATAAAGGATTATGCTAAAAAAATCAGGGCCTTTGAATAGGTTAACAGGGAAAAAAACCCATTTATATGGGGATATGAACAACAAGAGGCTTTTAACAATTTAGTTGAAGCGTTAACCACAACTCCTGTATTAACCCTACCAACCTCAAAGAATTTGTTCATTCTGGATACCGATGCGTCCGACTTTGCTATTGGTGCAGAACTTGTGCAGCTACAATACGGAAAAGAACGAGTCATTGCATATGGTAGTTTCAGCCTTACACCAGAACAACAGCGCTACTGCACTACAAGAAAAGAATTGTTAGCAATAGTTCGTTTCACTAAGCAGTTTAACCACTACTTGCTGGGAAGACAGTTTACAGTCAGGACTGACCATAGCAGCTTAACTTGGCTTCTTAACTTCAAGAATCCACAGGGTCAGTTAGCAAGATGGCTCGAAGTATTGAGCCAGTATAACATGACTGTGATACATAGACCAGGAAAGAAACATGGGAACGCAGATGCACTTTTCCGAGCACCTGGTGTGAGGCCTTGTCCAGAAAGGAAGGTGACGGTAGACCCAACCCAACTTCCTTGTGGAGGATGCAAGTATTGTACCAGAGCACATAAGAACTGGGCAAAATTCACTGAAGATGTGGATGATGTAGTTCCTCTGGGTAAAACAGTGGAAGCAACTGAAGTGCATGCAGCTTTATCCTGGTTGTTTAACGAGAAGGAATCCAATGACAAGGAATTGGTTTTTCAGGAGTCAAGCTCAGACTTGCATCATACATCGTTGGAAATTTCCTTTGCGGACTCAGATATATCCATTCTCATTAGTGTGGAGGAACAACAGTGTAATCAAATATGCACAGCTTCCCGTACTAGTGGGTTTGCGGGCATCGAATATTCACCTGAAGAAATGAAAGAGTTCCAGAAAAAGGATTCGGATCTTGGATTGATACTGCCCTATCTGGTGTCAAATAAAGTCCCTTCTGAGAATGACATCTTTACAGGCAGCAAGGCAGCAAAGAAATACTGGGTTAATAAAGAGATGTTTTTCATTGATGCTGAAGGAGTACTGCGCAACAACCCAAAGAATGGTGGAAAACCAAGACTGGTGGTGCCAAAAACTTTGGTTGATGAGGTACTTGGACTATGCCATGACTTAGCAGTTATGGGACATCAAGGTGTGTCAAGAACATATTTAAGTGAAAGAGAAATTTTATTGGTACAACATGAATCAGTCAACTAGAGACTTTGTTCGAACATGTGACGTTTGCAGCAAACACAGAAAGACCAACAGAAAAGCAAAGTGTCCTATGACAAAGTACCAGGCTGGAGTACCAATGGAGAGGGTTCACCTTGATTCCTTGGGTCCTTTACCCGAATCTACATCAGGGAACTCCAACATTTTAGTCATGGTGGATCAATTCACCAAATGGGTTGAATGTGTCCCATTACCATCACAAACAGCTGAAGTCACAGCTAGAGCTGCTGTAAATGTTTTTTTTGCTAGATTGGGTTTTCCCTTCAACATATTTACTGATCAGGGGAGAAACTTTGAAAGCAAACTCTTCAAGTCTATTTGTGACATACTTCAGATTCATGAGTCGCACAACGCCGTATCGCCCTTCAGCAAATGGGCAGGTCGAGAGATTTAATAGAACACTTATGGATGCAGTACGCTGTTTTGTGGACAAGTCACAAAATAATTGGGATGAACATTTGCCTCAGCTTGCTGGTGCCATTAGATCTTCTGTAAACAGACACTCTGGTTTCACACCAAACAAACTTATGTTAGGCCGAGAAGTGAGCGTACCTGCTGATCTAGTTTTTCGACCGCCCGAAACCAATGCATCTATTGATCATGAGGATTATGTGTCGAGACTACAAGAGTCTATACGAATAGCTCATGAAGTGGCCAGAGATGTATTGAAGACACATCAAGTCCATATGAAAAGAGATTATGACGTAAAGATTCATACAAAAGATTATGCAGTTGGTGATCTTATCTACGTTTTGGATAGCGCCAAGACTAAGGGACGGTCTAAAAAACTAGACCCACCCTGGAAGGGACCAGGCATTGTGGTTCAGAAGATATCCGCATACCTCTATAAGTTTAAACTTCAGAATACAGTCTTTGTTACCAATCATGACAGATTGAAAAAGTGTCATGACAGAAAAGTCCCTGCATGGCTTAATCAATGTCGGCATCGTCTGCGAAATGGAGAAAATGTTCTTGAGTCGGAATCTACTGACACCTTTTGTATATTTGACAAACCTGATGACGGACGTCTTATGATACAGTGTGACACATGTGATAATTGGTATCATGGAGCATGTGTCGCAATCACTCAAGAGGTAGCAGATACCTTGAAGACGTATGTTTGACCTAGGTGTCAAGTATAAAGGCATATTTTATACACTGTAACTAAATTATGTTTTTTTTTTGTTTCTTAATATATTATAGGTATCATGGAGAGAGACGCAGAGCTTGAAGATTACGTCACAGCAGACGAAGCTGATGCGGTGCTAGTCCATGAAACGGACGAAACGGATGAGGATTCATCAAATGGGGAAGAGAGGCTTCCACCATTTAAGCATAGAAGACGACATACAAGTATTGTGCCTGCACATGAGCCTGAAGACATCCCAGTAAGAAGCAGTAATTCGGGGGATAAGAGATCTTCCTGTCCAGTGGACGGGTGCCATGGGCGGTCCAAGCACTTAAAGCACCATGTTTTGGAATACCACATTCCCAGAGTTTTTTGGGACCGACCTTGGAATGAGCTCAATGCTTCATCAGACTATCACAGTCTGAGAGCCTCCTGTCTTCTTGCACTGGCCCAATACCTTTTAGGTCCGGCAGCAACAGTTCAGGACTTGGTGGACCATGTCAACCAGAAGATATCCTTGCCACGGGAGTATCTTATCATGCAGAGGACACTGCATCAGATGGGTCAGTTGACCCATACGATGAGGTGGCCTCTGACAGACAACTTCAAGATGGTGCCAGTAAACACACCAGCAGTACTCATACACGATCCTTATGGCAATAGTGTGCACAATGTCCCCAGGGAAGAGGTCAGAGTTTAGAGCATGGGGGAAAGAAGATCTGGCAGAGTTAGAAAATCAGGTAAAGTCAAGGAGGACAAGTTGGCAGGGTGTAGAACAGGAGTCCATTGTGCAGGACGAAGGTGAGGCCCTGGAAGAAGAAGATGAATGGACAGTGGTGGATGAATGTGGGAGTGAGCCCGAGTCATATGAAGTCGTCATTCTAAAAGAGGGCTATGCAATACCAGTCGAGGAGCAGGACAAAGTAAAGACTGGGGGGACCATTACGCTCCTGAAGGACCCTATGACAATTATCGTGAACACTGGTCACCCCAAGGACAAAGATCACATTCTGGAGGGCCTCCAGAAGAATAAGGTATCCGTTGATGATGTGGAGTGTTGTATCTGCACAAATGGCAATATGGACTATGTGGGAAACCTTAATCTTTTCCCGGACGCAGTCTACATTGCCTCATTTGACATGTGCCTGGGAGATTTACATCACAGACATGACTTTGAATCGGGTCAACCCTTTCCTGTCGACAAGCATGTCAAGGTTATATCCACTCCAGGATCCTCATGTACAGATGTGTCAGTACTGGTTAAAGACACTGAGTTAGGAACTGTAGCGATAGTTGGCGATCTTTTCCAATGCCAAGAGGACCTTGTGGAACCAGCTTTGTGGAGGAAATGCAGCCTCAATCCAGACCGTCAAGAGATAAGCAGGACCAAAATTCTCAAGATGGCAGACTATATTGTTCCAGGTCATGGAAAGATGTTTAAAGTACCAATTTAATTTAAATATTTTCTTTGCATGGAATGCAGGGTAGCGTTTACTTTATGAACAGTATGATAGAATTTGTTTTTTTCTCTCTCTCTCTTCATTGCACATGTACTGTTTAATATTAATCATACCATTAATTTGTACATGTTTCCATTCATTTTACATGTATTGTTTAACATGTATCATACAGTGTTTTTTTTTCCTTGGCATTGTGTATGAGTGAGAGTTATAGTGAGAGATTGGAAAGTATTTTCTGCTGTAATTTTTTTCTTCCACATAGGCCAAAAAAGGATATTACTTATATAGAGTTCATGATGATGTGGCATGTATTCATAATGTACTCAGTTTTCAGGTTGTTATCATGTTACATGTGATGTTGCTTGCAAAAATTCTTCTTTATGCCCATTTCATACATTATAGTATTATTATTTGCATAATATTTTTCAATCCAGTTGTCATATTCAAATCTAGTCACATTTCAGAATAATGAATTTAACAAGACTTACATATGTTGTAATAAGGTACAGGAGTATCTGCCCATTTTTTTCAAAAGGGAAGGGAGTGTAGTGTGGTATGAGTGTGTGCAGGTACGACTTAACCTGGCACCGTCCGTGTGTGATGCGCATATGCGAGTTAGTTGTCGTCTGGTTTGAGTGGTGAACGGTAGTGTGCAGTTGTGTGAGA